ATACATATACATAAATATATATATTGCTAAAGATTCACAACACGTATACATTTCCAAATACTAGCCTTAATAGGTGTGCAAGTCTGCTCTAATTGTACATATCAATTTTAGGTAAAATTCTGAACATTATGTTTTCAATTCAAAATGTTACGGCCTCTTATCTAGTGCAACAGGAATTTCCTCGTTGTGTAGAGATTCATGTGTGTGCACTCAGGTTTGCGAGAATATAGTTGGTCCTCGGAAAATACGCAATGCTTGGAATAACATACCATTCTGCGTATATTGTAGTACGTAGTGTCTGCCGCAATCTATCTGTAGATTCCAAAATCGTAAGCACGCGGTCTGACTCTCTCGATGCACTGATAAACTATACTATACTACTTCAGTAGCGGATACCTTTGTATATTGCTGGAAAGTTTTTAGATTTATTAATTACTACTAGAATTTGATTGAAAGATAATATACCCACAATGCACGTTAAAAAAAGTTCACATAGAGACTTATCTCAGGCATGAGTGGCATATATATAATATATCTGTATATATTTATATATATATGTGTGTGTGTAGCCTTGAAACACACGAATATGAGACACACGCAGTGACATATGTTACAACAATAGGCTATCAACCCCCGTGCTGTACGGAACAATAAAAATTATATTGCTCACACGAAAGTTATTTTTGAAGTTCACATCTCCGAAGGTTTCTCTATCAACGAAATCAGTATGGAGTAGATCATAGTCCAGTCGCGCGAAATTCTATTAATAGACGACTGGCATTCCACCAGATTTGCCGCCAAAAGAATACATTAAAAGGATATTATACAGAGCTGTGTGAGACTCTGTAAGGCTGAGGCTCTGAGCCACGGACTGGCCAGGCCCACCCATCATGTCATTCATTTTCTGTATCTGCGGCATTATGGCTTCTCTGGGGGGGGGGACTCTCTTCTCTTGTGGGTGGTCTTTCCGTATGAACAAAGATAGCAAATCACGTATTGCATTAATGATGTGTTCATATACGGTGCCAATCAGATCATACACACCTATTACACCGTAGTAGATACACACACACACACACACACACACATCCATACACGCCCATACACGCACACGCACACACACACACACACACACACACACACACACACACACACACAACAACAACAACACACATTTATCTATATAAATACATATATAATTGATAAAAGTGTTATAGACGCGTACTATAGCTCTGCATATGGGTTGGGTATCGACCAGGGTAGTGTATTTGACTTGAACGGTTCTCCGTCAACTGTTTCAAACTGCGACGATGTCGTCCAAAAAGAATAAAAATGCGAAAGCGCATATATACGGCCAGAAGAATAAACCCTTCTTAGAGGAAAAGAACAAGATGCTGAAGCTATACATGGTGCATGTAAGTTCAAATGCGTTATACATTTGTTCTATATACGTGGTGAATATAGGTTCTATTGCTTTGAGCTGTATCATGATACGAGTATTATTCGAGCTTTTGTTCGTACAAGATGTGTACTGATTTGTTTATGTACTAGAATATGACTACTCAGCTGCATGATTTGAAGTTTAGTAAATTACACAACACCTTTTTAACGCTCCATGGCTTCTTGTGCTTATGCGTTTTTTCGAGTATAGGTACCAAGTATTCTATCGTATTCCTGAGCACATATACGATGCTTTACAAGTGTATCTCCGAAACGCTGACTTTTGTGCTATCATAAATATTGATGTGTCCACAAGAATATCTGTACAATACCATTTCCTCTGCTAACAGCCTTACCTTTGTATACTGTCTTGTCAACTATATTCACCAGAGCATATTGTCTCCGTATGTTGTTCAAATTAAATGTGTGGATTTGTGAGATAAATAATCGCATTTCTCGTTCGTACTCACCTCTATACACATTAAGTCTTCTGTGTTCATAACAAGGTTCCAAATTGTCATCGTATATATATGTATTCACTTACGCGAATATCAAAAGGCTATATTTGGAAAGATTTATTCGTGTATCTATGATTTATAATATCGTGTATACACACTCACAAACACAAACACACACACACAC